CTTCGATTCAGGTCTTGTTGCCCATGCTTCGGGATGAAAGGTATCGAGGTGAATTCGAGGAGAGATTTCCGTGTAAACTGGTGTCAGCTGATCCGACTTCAGGGTGCCTCGGGGCATGTTCTAGAGAAGTGTAGGACGCTAGGACTGCACAGCGAGCTTACCCCGAGCCAGATTTAGGATTTGTTTGTGTGTGTGTTCCAAACACATTTTGTGTTTTTTTTCTGGCATGTTGTGAACTTTTGGTGTATTTTGTTTACGGCTGCTGGATTCGGCTTGTGATTATGGTTGCTGGAGCTGCAGCTACAGTTGGCGTGTCTTCGTCTCCAGCCGTCATAGTCATTGAGTTGCTTTGGGGCGCCATTGTTGCTGATGCAATCAGGAGGGTGCACCTACCTCAAGGGTTCAGCGGTTCCACTCTGGCTGCAGACCCTTCGCTGCGCACCGTTCCCACTTCTGCGACCGATCGGGCAGTTCGGCTCCATTGCGCTAGGCGTCCTTGAATCCGCCTGTTTGGAATGACGATGCGAAACGAAGACCCTAAGAACCCAAAAAACGTTTCCAGGACTGCCCCATCTGCTACAATGTGATCCAGCTCACGACGCAGACGATTCCCCGAAAGGCGGGCGTGGGAGCATCCGCTGACCCATCCCGAAGTCTACAAACATGCCTTCATGTTATGAGACAGGCTCGGGCTAAGGTGCGAATGCTTTGAGACATGATCTGCATTATGACCAGAGCAGCAGGGGAGAAGGACAATGCACAGTCATGCCCTGTGTTTCATGGGACACGACCTGGAAAGCATTGCTCAAGTCTAGAAGAAATTTATGGCAGTGTTTGAGGCCCAAGCCCCCGAACCATGTCCAACAACGCGTCTTGCCCCAGAAAGCCAAACGATTCTGCACAACCCGAGCCTTGACGCCCGATAACCTGGCCATGGTCTGCCGAGTCTACCGCTTGTGCTTATCTATTTGCCAAACTGCCTGTAGGGAGCCTGCATCTCCCTGCCAGCCAGACAGGCCTGCCCTACTTGCAAGCACAAGTTCCACAACGAGCCTAGAACTCAGTGCAAGGACATCACTGCAGGTTCTACGGCAGTTTTTCTGCTTTACAAAGTTAAAGGTTGTTGCTGGATGTTCGACATGCAGGGTTGCAGCACTGCTACGTAATCCGGGCCTAGGGCAGTGGGCAGAGTTCGGAATTCCACACTCCACACTGCATAGCATGTAATCCTTTGACACCGAAAGCCAGAGCCTGCCGCCTTCACCGCTTCAGCAGTTTCGAATTTAGAGTAACGCATAGATTGACGGATCCGTATAAACTGTAAAGCAAGAAGTCCGCAGCCTCGCCATCCAATCCAAAAGTGCTCGTGGCACCTTCGGGAGTCTCGGAGCTCTGCAGCAACATAAGCTGATACCTTCAGGGTCGGATCAGGCTCAGCCGGCTTCGAGGGTTTCTTTACAGAAACCACAGTTCATCAGTTGAGGACCGGGCCGGGCCAGAAGCCAAAGGGGAAGTCATGCTAAACACCGTCCACAGCTTGTTCACTCGAAAGCTAAGTATAATTTTAGCCAATTGCGGTAACTGATTCGCCAGAGTGGGGCTGCATTCAAACAGCTTCACAGCAGATCAATTAGCAACCAGACGACCGAGGTGCCTCTACCAGTGGTTCCGGTCCTCCAACAAGACGACCTGCCCTCTGTGCAATCAGCCGTCGGGGGACCCGTTAGGGTTTAGGATTTAGGACCGTCCACCATATGACTGTCTTTAAGTTTGGTATGTTGTCACTGACTGCTTCAACCCGAAACACTTCATGCCCTGTCCCAACAAACCCTTTCGTCGCCCTTATAAGCCCTTCTAGGATCCCTAGATCCGACCCCCCAAATCCTTGCTAAACTGCTAAACCGAAGGCAGCCTTAGAAAGCTCTGAAAGCACATGCAAGACCTCAGTGAGAAGTCCTTGTGAAAGGTCGGCGCTACGTAGACCAGTAGGCAAAGCTTTTCTCCAGGCATTCTCGGCGTGTCGGTCTCCCAACTGCCATTCCGGGACAGCACAGCCTTAACATGCACTGTTGCTGTCAAGATGGACCCAGCCATCCACTCAGCATCCTAATCTTCCCAGAACCCTCGACATCCGGAACAGACCCCTGCTGGAAATTGTAGCGCGAGTTGAAACGGTTGCGATATGCTCGAGAACATTAAGGCGCGATGGACCCATTGCCACAGGTAGAGTCTGCATGATAAGTGCACCAGGTTTTGAGGATGCGGCCGAGCAGGCGCAGAGAGGGTGTTCGCTCTGTCGAGTTCACTTTGTAGTGCTCTGCAGTTGGGAAAGCGCTGATATCATAGGCCAAATACTGCGAATACTATACATAACAGTTACTATGACAAGCTATATACCGCCTCTGTGACCACAGCAGGGGCGGTCGTTTGCCGTGTGCCTTCAGTCGCATGCTCCCGTTCGGCACACACGGTCGATATAGCCCGCGAGACGGAGGATGATGAAGAAAAGTTTAAGAAAACCCTAAACCCTAAACCCTAAACCCTAAACCCCAAACCCCTAAACCCCAAACCCCCAAAACGTAGCCCAAGAAGGGAGCCCTGATCTTCAGGCCCCTTCTTCCAGGGCGCGGGCTCTGAAGAGACAGTCAACTCTGCGAACACCCAGGGGCTCGGGCTCTCGAGCTCGCTCTGTCGGTTAATTTTCGGGCTGCCTTGCACTTTTAGGGAGACCTTGCCTGTGGATCCTAGGTTTGAGGATCCTAAGTACCTGTTTAAGTGTTTCATGAAAGGGTCCCTGATTTGCGAACCCGCCTTCCTTACTGAGGGCGGTGTAGAGAGTGTTGGAAGGAACAACAGTTGCTCGATCTTTTGAGGCGCCTGCAAGTCGAGCCCCTGAGCATGAAATTGTGAGAACAGAAGAGTCATCCGAAAGGCGGTCTCGCCCCTAAAACTCCCAGACTCCCAGAATACCATATGGGTAGTTTTCAAAATTAGGGTCCTTTTCTGGGTCCTTTTGAAAAGAGTGCCGTACTATATTGGGACCTAAAAAGGGACCCTAGTTTAGAGAACTACCCATATTCATTCGTAGCTTCAGCTCCGAGCCAGCTCACTGGGTGCAACCAATTTTCGTTGTCAGACCTTGCGCCTGCCCTGCAGCTTCCCCAAGACGCAAGTTGCGGATCTGGGATGGTACTAAACTCACCGACTGGTAGCCGGTACTGGGGGTTCCGGCTTGTGCCGAAGTATGCAGGTTTCTGGGCTTTTGGCTGTTGGTGAGTTTTTTTGGCCATCTCAAAGACAACCCGATGCTTCTCGGAGTAGTGACAGGAGGGCTCAAGGGCCCGGGAAGGCGACATGATCATTCACTTGAGGTAACGATCCTTGCAAGGAGGGTTGCTTCAGCGACAGTGCTGCGGGCCCGATCCGCACAAACTTTCTTAAGGAAGGTATCTTTAGGATTCCCGCCCCGCGCTTCTTGGATGCGCTTGCGTTCTTGGGAGAAGCTGATGTTGTACAGTAGGCCGAAGATGCAAGCGACGAAACAAGACCAGGGCGTTCAAGATTCGTGATTCGAGGGGCAGTGCAGTCATGAGGCTATTCATGGTCGCTGCGGGGGGAATTCGGACTTCGAGGTGTTCGCGTGTTTCGTGATCTGGATTCGGGAATCCTCATGCTTGAAACTGAAGGTTGTCGGTTCGGGCGCCGGGTTCCACATACTCTCCGCCAAGTTGTAAGACCCCTTCGTGCAGCCTAGCTCAGCTGTTTTGGAAGGGAAAGGTTAGCTGTTAGTAGACATCCGGACATTTTTGAATTCACACGGAGAGCGGAACGCTGTTCGCTACTCTGCCGGACTTACTGCTTTTGTCGAGCTTTCACTCAATGCTTGTGGATTTGAGATCTGGGTTGTGAACTGTGGGATTTGATAGCCGGATGTTCCTTTCACACGGCTAATCCAGACAGTCAAGACTGGCGCAAAGTCATCTGCAGCGTCCTGAGCCGGAGCCAAAGCTCACAGCACCAACTGCACCTCAGAAACAGCAGCAACTACCCGCATACCGCTTTCCTGGCCACTGTTGCCGGGACACTGATGCTCAAGATGGTATTCTGGGTTTGCGCTGCGACCCATGGTTCGAGGTCTGCGTCCCAGAGGAAGATAGGCTTCTCTGAGCTTTGAGCACAAAGAGCTTGGAGGGTTCCGTAAATTGGGAGGCGACGGGAACGGTTGATTTCTTGAGGGGTTCTTATAAGAAGGATCCTGCGAACTATTTGTTGGGTTTAGGCCCAAGTTTAGGTGAGGTGAAGCCACAATTCCTGCCGTCGGGCATTCTTGAGGCAGGGAGTCGCGAAACCTGGGCTCCGACTCCTTTTGACTGAAGTGCTTCTAGGATTCGAGGTGCACGTAGAAGAGAGGACGAGGTTCATGAGTCATTCATGAGCTGGGAATGTGTGAACTTGTGTGCTTTCGTGCCGGTGCCACACAACCGTACTGCCCTACACTATGCTACAGACTATACCGTGCATTACTGTACTATGGAATACTACATTGCACGATAGCTTGCAATTTTCTGCTCGATCTTTGTCATAAGACATACTACTACGTTATGCTATACTATACGAAATTCTACTACACTATACGACAATATTGTACTGCGTTATACTACATGTCTGTTCATTCGCAGGTTTCGGCTTCGCCGCCGCAGTCGTCGGCATTCAGGCGCCCAGGGACGGCTCCAGCGTGGGAGTTCGATAATATAGTATGATATTATATGATATGATACGGCATGATACAACACAACGTAACAGAATAGAACAGACTAGGTTATAACATAAGACAATACCACATGATATGATGTAGTAATGTTTCGTGGCATATCATGATATACATCACCTGAATGCCCTTGACAATTTCACTGGTCCTTGCGTTGGCATTGCACCGAGTGCTGGCTCAAGAGTCCAAGAGACCTCAAGTGCTGGGCTGTGGGATTGGTGAAACGCCAACCATGCGAGCCTTCAAAGTTGCGACGCCTATCTGAATTCGGCTTCGCGGAACCGAGGTTTTGTTTGAAGCTAGGCCTCTGAGCATGAACAAGTCGCCACGGTTGTCAATATAGAGGAAACAGATTTAGAAGAGGAGCCCTGAAACCTAAACCCTCTCTACTCTGAGCCCTGAGACTCGAAACCCCGAAAGCTTACAGCCCCAAGCCTCAACGACCCAACCGCCATGGCATTGCCCCGAAGCCCAGCTTTCAAGCTGAGGCTGGCATGCCTGCCGCTTGGCATGGCGGGGGACCTCTCGGCGCTGAACATGCAACTGGCACTTCGGCTCATGCGTGCGGGGGTGAGGGATCAAAACAGGTTTGCTTGGCAGGGTGGGTACAGCAGCAACTGCAACCACGAACACAACAAGTTCAACTACAGTCACGACAAGTACAACAACTACAGCAACAACCAGAACTAGTGATAGTGGTGGTCGTCGTCGTCATAGTAGTAGCGGCAGCAGTAGCACAGCAGCATCGGCAGCAGCCATGGAAGGAGTCGTAGTCGTAAGTAGTGGTAGTTAGCTATAGTAGTTAGTAGGAGCAGCAGCAGCAGAAGTGGTGGTGGTAGTAGTAGTAGTAGTAGTAGTGGTAGGAGTAGTAGTAGTAAGGAGCAGCTGCAGCAGCGGCAGCAGCAGCAGCAGCAGTAGTAGTAGTCGCCGTCGTTGTAGTAGCAGTCATAGGAGTAGCAGCAGCAGTGGTAGTAGTAGTCGTTGTGGTAGTAGTAGTAGTAGTAGTAGTAGTAGTAGTAGTAGTAGTAGTAGTAGTAAGTAGTAGTAGTAGTAGTACTGGAAGTCATAGTAGTAGCAGTAGAAGTAGTAGTAGTAGTTGTTGTTGTTGTTGTTGTTGTTGCTGCTGCCGGTGTTGTTGTTGTTGTTGTTGTTGTTGTTGTGGTTGTGGTTGTGGTTGTTGTTGTTGTTGTTGTGGTTGTGGTTGTGGTTGTTGTTGTGGTTGTGGTTGTGGTTGTGGTTGTTGTTGTTGTTGTTGTTG